GACAGACCCCCGTGAGACAAAGACAAATGTGCCCTGTGTGCTTCTGCTTCTTAACTCCTGTAAATATGTACACCTTTTGTTGTCTCGTCAAATGGTGCACTAAGTATATACACCGCACCTCGAGATCCCAGACACTTGCAAGGGGCTGTAAGGTGCAATAATGGCCTTCATATAGATTTGATGATAAGTTGCTGTAACGGACATATGGCTTAGTAGTTTTGACGTCAGTCTCACTTAGTAGCGCCCCTCAGAAAGTGCAGAGTTCGAATCCCTCCAGTAGCACTCTTAAATGGGCTAATAAACATGTAGAGATAAATAAGTAGGAGTAAAGCAGATAGTAATATGGGTGTAGTAAGACTAAGTAAGCAAATAGTAAGATACAGTAAGTAAAGCGGTAATATACAATAAGCCAGTACAGTAAGTAAATACGGTAAGATAAAGTGACAGCAATAGTGAAGCTCGGTAAGTACAGTTGATAAGGCTGCCTCAGCTGCTCTTCAAAGCTTTGCGGTGTCTTGCAGGGCCTTGAAACTCCTTGGACGGTTTGTGACGATATCAAGCGCTATCGAGAATCTTCCTAACTTGGTAGGTAATCGCCATCTTTCAAGCTACTTTAAGAATTACCCTTGATCTCCGAACAGCTTGTGAGAATTTCTTTCCCCTTGAAAGCCCCCTCAAGGCTGGTTCCCTCCTTGACGCCTTGAAAGCGCTTCAGCGCCCTTTCGACGCCCAAACCCTTTTTGGGACACTGTGCGACGTCGAAGCCCTCGCGCAGAGTCTACAAGCTAGCCCTTCCAGAGCTGCTCCTCCCGCTTCAGCTGTAGAGCTGGCGGGGCCCAATGGGCCCAAGATCCTTCACAGTAAGGCGAAAAAGAAATATCTGGTGGGTGCTCACATGCTTGTGCACTGGAACAACCTAAACATCTTCGCTCAGCTGACAAACGAGCAACTGAAAGGGATTAAGCCTATCAGTATAGAGCCTAACCCTTACGGAGGACCCTATCTCATGAAACACTACAATGCTTGCGACGTGGAGAAACTTGCAAATCGTCTGGGTTTGCCAGCTCAAGCACCAGGTACTTCTAAGAAGCGAGTCTCGGCGCCGCCGTCGACTACTTCCAGGAATTCTAAGGGAAAGACTGCAATGGCAGTGAAAACTTACAACGTTGATCACCGCTTCGATCATAATTATCAGGAAGGTGCTTTCGATGGCATGAGCGCCGACGATGCATACTACAAATGTGAGCAGCCCCCCTCTGGTTACTTCCTCTCATCCCTTCACTTATTGACCTCCGTTCTTACAGTGATGGGCATCATTCATGGCCAAGAGGCATGAGAAGTTAAAGGCTGCTGGGCCTGACGTGTATGTTGCTTCCGTAGATAGCCTGATTTGTAGCCTTTGGTGCATCCCAGGTTGCTATGTACGCTTCCAAGCCCCATCAATAATAATCTTTGAGGCAGAGCATGTTCCCCGAATGCAGGGTCTTTGCGAGCTAGACGGACAACAAGTGAGAAGACCCACTAGTTCTTTATACTCAAGTGCTCGGCTTTGTGCACTGGTATAATCCACGGAAATCATCTCCGCCATCGGGAAGGACAGAAAGAGCCAGGACTACGTTCAATTATCGGACCCGAGGTATGCGAGTGATCCAAAATGTTGCTCATGACGTCCCTGCTACGACATGATGTCTGCGTCCCGCCATAAAATTCCGTGCCAGGGCACGGTATGGTTCGTGAATAAACAAGGGACCAAATGGACCATGCATAGCACGGTCGTGCCGCGATAAATGCTGAGCACCGAGGCTGAAGCTGGGGCATCTCAGGCTCGTCAAGCAGCCTGTAAAGCGTACCTAAATTCGCAGGCCAGCGTTTAACTGAACAGGACGATCGCTCCGCTGTCACTCTTGACTTCGACAATCAAAGCGGGCTTGCCACTGGCACCAAACATCATGAAATAGGCGATGAAGTCAACAGCGTCGCATCTAGGGTGCTCTAAGGAGTATCGTAGGAAGTGAGAGAGTCTCTGAAGTTAAGCCCATGGGCCCAGGAGCTTCAAGGTCGTGGAGTCTGAAGTTGCAGCTCTCGAACACCTCGTTTCCAGCGTGCATGCATTCGAAAATGTTGAGCAGGTCTACGAGTGCTGTCTTTCAGGTATCGCACGTCCATCAGTGACGATAAATTAACACGTACTGCAGAACCTTACGGGAGCAGGCTGGGTTTCTCCTTGCGTAAGTATCGTCGATACTTGTGCCACATTGCGGTACCGGCGGTGCAGATCGCGATCGTTGTCGGAGCCGCTTGTGTGAGGTTCCTTGGCGGGGTGTTAGGGTGGTGCCGCCGGAAGGATGCTACATGTCGCGGGACGAGAGCAGAGCAGTTCCTGTAGCCGCCGTATTTTGATTGGCTGATGGTGAGACATGATTGGCCTAGCTTGGAGCCTTCTGTTTCTCATGACCGCAACATGACCTAAATACCCTCTCCCATGACTGAAGCCCTGTCCTTGCTCCTTCTCCCCTGTCTCTTCCTGCCTATTGCAGCTCGCCGTCGCGTACGACGAGCAACACAGCGATCACAACCATGGCACTCCCGCCGTCCGTCGAAGTCCCCATCGTGTCCTCCGCCATGAGGGCAAACGTCCTCGACGAAGATCCGAGTCCGCTCGCGGTGCAGTTCGATGACACTTGTGTGGTCATCCCCGACCCAGTCGTCCAATCGCGCATGCCTCGGCTCATCAAAAAGTCCTACTCTCTTCCGCTTTGGAGGAAGAGGTCCAATTCCAACCTGCCACCGACAGACACTGTTGAAGTGGCGGGCAGCCCAGAGGACAGGCCCGGTGTATCCATCACCGTCCCATTACCCAGGTGTGTACTCGGCCTTTCCTGCGGATCCAACATGAGCCTCAGACGATGCCGACGATCACAGTTTTTCCAAATCTCGCTCTCCGAGTCAGGGCGAGCAGATCCATCAACCCTTGGTCTCGTGCCTTGTCAACGGGCACACGCCCTCGCCTCGCAAACTTGCCAGACGGCCATCCCTCCCTCTCCCACCCCGTCTGGACGCCGCCACGGTGCCGTTGCGCCCGTGCTGCCTCGAGTGCTACCCGATCACAGAAGAGTGTCTGCGCAAAGACGTCACCTGGGAAGAGAAGTTCACGCGCGGAGCGCGGCGGCGGCGGAACTCGAGTGCGGACGCACACGTACACGCACACGCGCACGTGCAGCGGCACCGCAAAGTGTGCGACGACGTGCCCGGCTTCGAGAGCGTCGTCTTCGCGGACGAGGTCGACAAGCGGCGTTCCGGCACTTTTGAAACGCTGGAAGTGTCCTCAGACGGCGAGGTCGAACAGCTCGTGCCGTCGTTCTCGCGGCGGCTGGAGTTCGGCGCAGAGCCTCTCGCCTCGCGGAACGCTGTTGTGATCGCGGAGGAGGCCGAGGAGGCCCTCTTCCCGCTGCCCTCACCGAGCGCGTCCTTTTCCCACCTCCCCCTGTCTGCCCCTGGTGACAGTTCCGCTCTGCTTTCACAGAGTCCCGACGCCGTGCCTAGCCTCTCGCCTGCTGGGGCGCCTGCGCTAGACGACGCGCACCGCGCGAGCGTGTACTACACCCCCGACAGCTCGCCCCTGGCGTCGCCGCGCGAACCCGCATACACCCGAAGCTCGCGCGAGAGCTCGTTGTCCCGCGGCTCGGACCCGCCGCTCACGCCCTCGCCGCCAGTGCCAGCAAAAGACGCGTCTGCGAAACGTGGCATGTCGATCCCGCTCGCGTCGTTCGAGTTCGTCGCGTCGCCCGAGCTGGACCTCCCCGCATACCCCGTCATGCGCCAGAGCGCCTCCGCCGCAAGCCTGCCAGGCACCCCCGAGCTCGGGGCGGTGCCGCGGAGGAAGCACTTCATGCACATGCCGAACCTGCCTGGGCCGGGGTCGTTCCTGCGGGCGGGAGCGGATCTCTTCAAGAGCGTCGGCGGTCTCGGAGGGGCGGTCCCGCTCAGCGTGTAGTCTGTCATTGCGAGTCTGCAATGTCGACGCTGTAAAGACGTTCCTAAACTTTGGAGACTTTTGGGAGGCTGTTGGTGGCGCATATACCCATCATTTTGGTTGTTGGTGTCGATTTGCTTTGTTGTGCGGGTGTGGATTTTGGCTTCAGTGTTCTCTGCATCAGTGTATTTGTACCTCTCATGCATATTGTCTTTGTGCATAATCTTCTCGTACACATCCTCATAACTTCATTCATCTCAATTGTCCATCGCTGTTCCATTGTACGCTAGTAGCCTGTTGTTCGACCCCGTCGTAATTATTGTCGCATCACATACTACCGATCGCGAGAAGATGTGGGGACGCTGAGAAAGGTCAATCCTCCTGCGCTTCTTTCTTCGTCAACGTTTCCACCCCCAAAAGACAGCTCCATCTTCGAGATAACGTCAAAATGCTTTTCGGAGAGGCGGTGAAAGACGGAAGAGTCAAAACTAACATAGACAACTTATGTAATCGTGAAGAACTGATGGCCGCCACCAAGACACAGCTTTCCTTAAACATATGCAGCTTTGTTTTTCCCTTATCCGATACGCCGAGACGTTGCAATAAATATTCGAGCTCACAGGAACATGACATGGTACCAGGCGTACACGTGAATAGGACTCTACCCCCGGCTCCCAAGGTCTAAGTTGCACGTAAGCGGATCCCCGTTGTACCCCTGCTCAAGCTGGGTATTTCAAGACGTGTAGGGAACAACAGTGTTAGCAGTGCACAAGACCTAATCATCGCAATAATCAGACATCGTTCGTACTTCGCAGCACACGAACGAAGCTCGGCGCACCTCTCCGGGATAGATGTTGCTGCAATCGCTGTTGACGTTCGGGTTGTTGGCCAGCAGGGTGCTGCGGGCGACATTCTCGTTGGTCGTAATCAGGTCGCAATTGTCGCCGGTCTGGATGACATAGGTCATCGTGCAGTCTTGGCCCGTGATACCCAGGCAGAGCGGCTGGACGCCGTTGTCAGCACGCTGGCCAGAACTGTGGCGCGAACAACCGGACTTACCTCGCCCTCACCGAGATTGTCGCAGCCGGCATCAATCTGGGGGTTGACGAGCGCAAGCTGATACCTGAAACCCCAGAAAACAAAATCAGTGGTATGACATCGAGGACTCCTGTTAGGCCAACTCACGTGGAGACGTTGAGGTCGGCGGAGATTTCATTGCAGGTGTCGAAGAGGTGGACAGTGTAGTGCGAGCA